CAACCAAACAGAAAATCAAATCAATGGAAACAATTATTTGAAGGTACAACATCAACTATCAGAAAGATTGTGATTCCTCCTAAGCAAGGTACTCTAAATGTATTTATCCATGTAACTACCAACTTAGTAAAGCTTCGTATCACACATGAATGGGACTAGGTGCCTGTGGTGGGGAGAAGATTGGCAAAGTAGCCATTGTTTAGAATTCTTGATGAATTAATTTTTGTATGCTGTCATAAATTCTTCCCACATTTTATCCAAAGATTCATTTTTTAAAATGCAGGTACAGATAGTCTCAATCTAAATAGATTTATTGCAGATGAAAAGCCTCAATTATATTGAATTATACAAACTCTGAGAAGGAAACAATGTATTATTTTATTCTTCTAGTTAGGTATCAGGACCCAATTCTGCCCATATTAACTGAACATAAATAAAAAATTCGAGTATATCAATTTTTCATGAGTATGCATTAGCATTTTGTAACAATTTTAGTGGAATGAATGAGAATAAAGTATGAAAATATGAACCAAGATTTATAAAATATCTACAAAGAATAAAACTAAAAATAACTGGCCATCCGAGATTTTCATCATGGCAAGATGGTAACTTCAGAATTTTCATAAAAGATTAATGAAGACAAAAGAACATCAGTAACTCTGCAACAGCCTTGATAATTGAGAATGCATTTATAGGGTAATCAAATGACTGAATATGATTCTAATAAACAATTGAAAATGGCCAACACCAATGAGGGTGAGGTATTATAAGACTGTAAACAATTTTAATGCTTCCTAGATAAATGTTTTTGATATAAATAATTTTTATAGAATTGCTTTCAACATTATCCATATTTTAGTGATGACACATATTATTCAAATGAAATCTCATCCAGCCAACATACAAAACACATAAAAGTAAAGCTGCTTGGGTTGATGCACATTTTTTTCTTCTCTTTTCCCTTGTTTTTAAAAGATGGAGAGGTCACTATATTCCAAACTTCCAGATACGCATTTCCATGTTTATTATTAAAGCAAATTCAAAGACCACCTTTTTCACATTACAATAAAACCATCTTCTTCTTTAAGAAGGCTGAAATATTTGAAATGTCCTATTGAAAATTTCTTTTTAAAAGTTCTCTAATGCTTTCTAGCACATGATCTCATTGCAAAAATAAAACAATGCAATTAAAATCCCAATATTTATTTGGAAAGGACATATGAAAACCTCTTCTAATTCATAGGGAGATAAAAAACATTTGAGGTCAATCGAGGAAATATTGAAAAACAAATATAAAAGAACACTTTCAAAAATACTATAAAGCAATAGAAGTTAAAATAGTATGGCATTGGTACAGAAAAGGAAAATAGAAAGGCAATATATCCAATTTTTAAATGAATGACAAAAACAGCACTTGGAAGCTTTAGGGTGGAATGTAGACGCTCATGTTTGCTTAAGGCAAGAGAGAGAAGACAGAGAAAAAGCAAACACTAGACTAATAAACAAAATACAAGAACCAAAAATGAAAAAGTTGAAACAACTAATATTTTATAACCAAACAAATGTGACAAAATCTAACAAAATAACATAAACAATGTTTCAAGGCAAGCAACACCCTGGGAGGTAAAACATGCCACAGATTTATTAAAAACTGAATTTTTATGTAGTATTTAACAGCTGGCACCAGTCTACAAAAATATAGGCAGCAAGTTGGTTAGAAAATACAAGATAAGAACAAAGATGTACAGGAGGCTGAAAAATGTGTGAGAAATTGTTTAAATTGAACAGCGATTTAAAATGCACAATCTTAAAGTGCATGAGTGTCATTTACTGTCTCACACATAATATGGTTGCATGTATGTATATGTATGTACAAATACATAGTACATGCATATATATTTACAATATAATTTTCTCTCTCAAAGGTATCCCTTTATCTAAGTATGATGTTCATTATCATCCCTATTGTACAGAGAAGAAAACTGAGGGTCAGAGAGGTTAGGAAACTTTTCCAAGGTCACACTGTTAATCAAGGTGGGACCAGGGTTATTGTAGGCAGTCTGGCCCCAGTGTCACCTCTTCATCACTTTATGCTACTGACCACTCCACCGTTCATTTTATTTTTCTTGGATGTCACTATCATCAGGCCACTATCTATCAACAAACAACATATCACATTAAAACATTTATATAGAGCCTAGAGGGGAAAACTGTCCCACAATACTTCTGGAAACAGACAATCATTGGTATTCTTTGGGAATGGGCAGGAAATGAAGAAATAGGCCATTGAATGATTGAGAAACTTCTCTCTCCCAGTACATTTCAAGTATAATCATGTTCAGATTAAACAAGAAAGTCATTCCAGCTTCATGATATTTGCCAAGAAAAACCCATCCTCAGACCCAATGGCCAACAGCATGCCCTGGTCTTTTGGGCAGGCTGCCAAGCCCTAGATGATCTGTCAGCTTTCCTTATCCACTTTGGTGACAGAGGAGGAAGCCCAGTGAATTGTTTTCAAACTGGCAATACAAATGGAAACTGATTCACCTAAAAACAAGTGTTTTCTAGGAATAAATAAAGAGGGATGCTGAAACATACAGTGAACAATACATTGAGCTGCTGGTGTTGTGGTGCAGTGGGTTAAGTTGCCACCTGTGGCGCCAGCATCCCACCTGGGTGCCAGTTGGAGTCCTGATGGCTCCACTTCTGATCCAGTTCCATACTAAAGTGCCTGGGAAAGCAGCAAAAGATGATCCCTGCACTTGGGCCCCTACCACCTACATGGGAGACCTGGAGGAAGCTCCAGGCTTCATCCTGGCCCAGCCCTGGCCATCACTGACATTTGAGAAGTAAACCAGTGGATCAAAGACCTCTTCTTTTCTCTCCTTCTCTCTGTAACTCTGACTTTCAAATAAATCTTTTTTTTTTTTTTCTGTAAAAGAGCATACACTGCAATACTTCCAGAAATAGAACTGCTTAGGGAAAGATCTATCTAACTTCTTTGTTTCAGAACTTATTTTGTATTGGCTAGAGATCAAAGACTGTGCTCCCAACTGTGAACGATGAAAAAGATGATGTATGGAGAAAGTAAGACATCTCTAATATTAAAGAGACATAATCATGGAGATAGAGGGAGTAGAGGAACTCTTGTGATGAATCAGGCACAGAGATAAGAAGCTGTGTATTCAAGTAAAAGTTGCAGCTCAAACACTGCGGGTTTGGTACATTGATTGTGGGGAAGGGGGGAGCTTTGATATGTCTTTTCTTGCCATAAACTGCCTCTCCTCTAGCTCCTTGTGGTTTCTTTTAGATTTATTTGGACCCTCCTTTTCAAAATGCAGTTTCATTTTCGCCTTATGCAATACAGCTTTATGGAAATACATGAGCAATTAATTAATCATCACAGAAAGAATAAAACACTGAAACTGATGCACAAAACTGAGGATTCGACTGACCCTCTTGGGTTGACTTCAATGTATGATTCTAGCATTTTTATTCCATGTCTAAAAATACAAAAATAATAATCACATTATAACTATTATAAATTTTCTTTCAGCAAATATTCCCTATAGATAATTCTATTATTTTTTAATTTTAAAATTATAATATTATTTTCACTGGACTCCTATGTTTTCTGAATAAATTTAAGAACAAAAACACATATTAGCTCTACTATCTGTATAATATTTTAACAATATTATTTATATACTTGTATATTTTCATCGGGAATTTTTTTCTAAAACATTGAATTATCAATTTTGTTGATCCAGATTTCATTAAGACCGCTTATCCATTAATTTATTTGTAGTTAGTACTAAATACAATATGAAATGTTAGCTGTTTCATTTTTTCAATAATTTATTAACTATTTTATGAGTTTTTCTACTTTCCACTTTAACAACAGCATATATTTTGGGAAACATTTTATTATTCTAATTTTGTCCATAATATTTGTCAATCCATCTACCTCTTTCCCTATCTATCTATCCAATGTCCCATTCTATGATGATTCATATGCCTATTTTTATTTGTTCTTCAAGGTCAAAATGTCAAGATCAAAATCTTTGAAGATTAAAAGTTAAGAACACCAGAAGTAAGCACCAAGGTTAAATACGAGTTCACAAAATCACCACAGTGCTCTTCACTTTCCCCTCTGTGACTGTGTTAGCTGGGTGCTTTTCAGTTAATGCAAACAGTAAAAATACGTAGTTTTGTCTACTAAATAAGACTTCTTTTCCTGCCATGTGGTTCATAGAAATCACCACTGTGAATTTTGAACTAGTCAGGTTAAACATATGACAATAAAAGTTGTCAATTAACCTTCTATATCCAAATTTGTGGTTTTTTTTTTTTAATCTTATGTATATAACTCTAATAGAGCACCTAGGGTCTAGCTCTGTCTAGCTCCTTTTATTCCTTCAAGTTTTTCTCTTGGGATATGCCTTTGAAAGTCTTAGTTTCTATTCCTGCTATTAAATCAGCTTAAGAAATTCATAGTTATCATAGGTGATAACTCTCAAAGCCTGAATTCATATAGCACCTGCAAATGTCTGTTTCTCATAATTTTCCATGAATATAATGACTAGGAGTAAGCAAAGCACATGTGACCTCACACATCACATTCTTGAGAACAAATGCTTTTTCAGCTGCAATTATGTCATCATGAAATCATGTTACACATTCTAAAATAAGCTCATTGCCATATGAATTGTTATCTTACTGAGATATTTTTATAGCTGTGTTTTAACAGCTTCCTAAGAAGTGTCTTCTAAATAGCTCATAATACCACAACAAACTCTTTTTTCATCTTATGCACACGAATATTTTGTTTGAACATTAAGAAATCACAACTCGGGTCCTGCACTGCACATACACAAACACTTGAGTAACACACACACACACACACACACACAAACAGCTATTTCACTAAATCTAAAACATGTAATTTTTGACTTTTAAAGAAAGTCAGTTTTTCCTCAATGTCACAGTTCGGGGCTCACCTGTGGACGGGGATGTCCTGTGACAAGACAGGTCAATTCCAGCGTTTCTCCTTCCCGGATGGTGTAGACTCTTTCAGAGTAGCGTTCCTCCTCTATGTTACAGGCCAAGCCTGAGTGCACAATGCGAACCGTGGGGGGAGCTGCCAAGTCAGGGAGAAAAGAGAAATAAGAAGGTAAGTCAACTGTCTTCCCATGAACCATCATGATTGTTAGAACAACTCTTATCTGATTTCTCCACAGTAAGACCCATCAGTCTTCACATTTTGAGCTTCCCCAGGGGATTAAACAGTTTGCTGGAGAGAAAGTTCCAAATTTATCTAATAGTCAGCATCACCAACGCATTCTAAAAATGGCTAAGGGGAATGGGATGGGAGAAAATTAACGCCTCAGGAAATGACCATTATTACAAGACCATATGATAAAATTTGATTGTCGAAATGTCAGAAGGCCCCTCTAATCTGAAATCCAAGTTTTAATATAGTAAGGAAAGTTGTACCAAAATAGATACTGCAAAAAAAAAAAAAAAAAAAAAAAAAAAAGAGAGAGAGAGAGAGAGAATCATTAGAAGGGAAAAAGGACTCTGATTTGACAACAATGGAATGTGACTACTAATTATATAGCATGTGGGGCAAGGAAAAAGCTAAATAAGAAGGTTTGACCCTGTACTGAGTTGAGCAAAAAGATAATCACACCAGCACAGTGGCATAGTGGGTAAAGTTGCTGCCTGCAGTGCCAGCATTCCATATGGGTACTGGTTCAAGACACAGCTGCTCCACTTCTGATCCAGCTCTCTGCTGTGCCCTGGGAAAGCAGTGGAAGATGGCCCAAGTCCTTGGGCCCCTGCACCCGCCTGGGAGACCCAGAAGAAGCTCCTGGCTCCTGGCTTCAGATCAGTGCAACTTCAGCCATTGCAGCCAATTGAGGAATGAACCAGTGAATAGAAGACCTCTCTCTCTGACTCTCCTTCTCTGACTTTCAAATAAATAAATTTATCTTTTAAAAAAAATAATCACTGAATTAAACCAGTGAAGGCTATATATCATTGATGCCTGAGTCTAAAATCCTCATTAAAGAGAAACTCAGTTCTCAAGAAACTGTCCAAATTCCTAAATATAATTTTCTCTTATTTAAGTCCCTAAAAGGCAAATAAAATTTGATTACAACTCATTGGCTTATGTATCATCGGAAACCAACTATATGCAAAAAACTATGGGCCATGAGAAATAAAGTGTGGTACCTGTCATCAAATACATGATTGACAGCTACTACAGATTGGAGATCATCCTTATTTATGAAGTCAGACTTTTTGTTGTAATACAATTAGGGGTGGAAGAGAAATGGTTATTTTATTAAAGGAAAATGTTGAGGTTATATCCACAAGTCAAGTGCAGTAGTCTCAAGAATTTTCTGTAGACATCTTCAACCTAAACAGCAATATTCTAAACAGAGCCTTTAACTGCTTAAAAATGAATGCTGATAGATTTGGATTTTTTATTTAGGATTAAAAAGACAATGAATCTACAGAATTTGAATATAAACTTGGTGATTCTCTGAAGTAAAAAAAATATATATAAGGCTAATTTATGGGAGGAATCTCTTCCACAAATTTACAGAAGTAAAAATACAGTAACACCTAATACTAATAACACCTGATACTTGTCTTTACATAACATACTGATATGGGTCACACAATAGTGTTCCGTAATTGGCAAGGGCATATTTCATTATACTTGTCAGTTTCAATCAGAAACTGGGAGATGGAAAATTACATTTAGGACTAATGAAACAACTGCTTATTTCCATCTCATGCTAGGTATTTGAGTATACTCCTGCTCCTACACCTTGAAATTTATAACACTCTCTCCAAAATCCACCATCAAATGATGTACAAAACCTTCCAATGGTAGCTTAAGATGGAGGAGTATTTCTAGAAAAGTAATTTTTACATCTAATACAAAACCACCCAAGAACTTGCTAAAACACAGATTTCTACATATGTGTATAAAAATCTCTGAAATTTGCCTTTTTAACCATGCACCCCAGGTGACTACCATCACAATGCTACTTAGACTAAATTATTAAAAATATTTTTCTGGGTCTTATAAATATTTATGAACTAAAGGAAGATACTCCTAGGGATAGAATGTTCTTTTCCATTCAACTTTTTAAAATAACTAACCTTCATTATATTCATCACTTCATTGGCTTGAAAGATTAAATGCTGCTTAAGTAAATCAAATATTTAGTTTGTTCTATAAAGTGTATCAAAAATTTTATGTCATGTTTTTGGACTCTGTCTAGACATTATAATAATTTGTCTAGGTCTATGACATTAGAAATTCTTATTTTTATCCATTCTCTTGGTGCTCTGATGCTTCACCCAGTGTTTCCCACAAATCATTTCCGACAGTCATCAAATTTAGACTTCAATTGCAATAAGTAATACTAGCAAGATACTTATTCTTAGACATCTGTCTTATACAATTGTAAACATAAAATGCTGAAAGACTGATCAAAACTAATAAAGGCTTGCAAAACAAAAATAGAAAGATTTCAAATAGAAAATAGATTTATCTTGAAATATATTTCCAAGCCAAATTTAGTTTAGTGACAGCCCACTTACTTATTAATATGTCTAATTATATAGTGACCTGATATCTTTCCCAGATTAATTTACACTTGTTATTTTTGTTTTAATTTTAAATCAGTTTAAAGTATTGTTACTTTCAAGATGTATCTTTCAAAAGCATCATTATGCAAATGAGTAGCTTTATTTAAACCATTTAAATTATACAGTAAGCACACTGTGACATTTACAAGGGTTAATTTTCTGCTATTTTCTTCTATATTTTAACACATTCTTGGAAAAGGTAATTGCCTACATAATGCAGTCATCATGAATCTACCACCTCTCCTGCAGGAGGCTGGAATACACCACCAAACTGTTAAGTGATAAAGACATGTTCCGTTCAGTATTTATTAAAATATATGCTCAGTGCCTTAAATTCCCAATAAGATGAACATGTGAAAGCTTCCATCTTTTGTCTGAAGAAAGCTCACCTATAAGGGCTGTAGAGGTCACCCAAGTCAATGCTTTTATTTCCACTTTAGAGATATCAAGGGACTCACATGGTACTTTGGCCAGTTATGGAGTAACTGAGACCAAAAGCACTGGTCCTTTGTTCTTCTCGTATTTCTGGGGCATATCAAAATAATCACTGGGCTGGGTTTCATTGCACAGATTAGGCTGCTGCTTGGAATGCCCACTTCTCACATCAGAGTGCCTGGGATGGAGCCCTGCCTCTCCATTCCTAACCAATCTCCTGCCAACCATCGGGGAGACCAAGATGGAGAGCCTGGCTCCTACCTTAAACCTGTTCCCGTCCCAGGTGTTGCAGGTATTTGAGGAGTGAACCAGAGAGTAGAAGACTTCTCTGCCTTTTTATCTGTGTGTCTCCCTCACTCTTTTTCCCTCTTTGGCTCAAATAAGAAAGAAAGAAAACAATGAAAAAAAAACAAAGAAGCAAATGAACCTGTCATTGATAAGTTAGGGTTGTATAGTAATTCCCAAATTAGACCTAGACTACATTAGGGGAATAATAATTATTATTATAATAATAAAAGAATGAGAAACATTACTGAAGTATTTAAAGATCATGACAAGGCTTATGGTATAAGTAGATGGGGAAGGAGTCCAGCCTAGTGATTGAGTTGCCCACATCCCACAGTGCAGTGCCTGGGTTTGATTCCCAGCTCTGGCTCCTGACTCCAGCTTTCTGCTACAGCAGAACCTTGGAGACAGAAACAACAGCTTAAGTGGCTGGGTCCCTGTTACCCACATGGGAGGCCTGGATTGAAATATTAGCTCTCTGTGGCATAGCAGGTAAAGCCACCGCCTGCAGTGCCGGCATCTCATATGGGTGCTGGTTCGATACCTGGCTGCTCCACTTCCAATCTAGCTCTCTGCTATGGCCTGGGAAAGCAGAAGAAGATGGCCCAGGTCCTTGGGCCCCTGCACCCACAGGGGAGACATGGAAGAATCTCCTGGCTCCAGAATGGCACAGCTCCAGCCATTGCGGCCATCTGGGGAGTGAACCAGTGGATGGAAAATCTCAATCTCTCTCTCTCTTTCTCTGCCTTTGCCTCTGCCTCTCTGTAACTGACTTTCAAACAAATAAATAAATCTTAAAAAAAAAAAAAAGAAATATCAGCTCTCAGCTTCAGCCCAGCAAACACATCACAGGGCATGTGGGGAGGGAAACTACAAAACACAGCTGTCTTTCTGGCTCCTAATTAATGAAGAAACAATATAAGTAATATTATTGTTCCAGTTCACCACCCGGTTTTCAGACGCTGCCAAATGCATTGATACCTTGAAAGTTGCCCAAACTGTATTTTTTGGAATTTCTGTTTCATCTGTTATTTTCCAGCTTAAGAACCAAATCTCCCCATGTCATTTAACAGGGCCCTAATCCCTTCATGTAGATTGTCCTGAGTCCAACCATCCAACCTGAAATCCTTGTTCTCTGTAGGATCAACCCTTTATCAGTGGGAAGGTACGGACTTTAACTTTCTTTGCCTATAGTTTCCCCCACCTAGCATTTCCAGACTGATACATGGACCCATATTCCTGATGCCTTCTAGAATGACTTAGCAATGGTTCTCTTCTCCGTTTTCTAATATATTCCTATTGCCTGAGACGTTTTCACCGTCAGGATGAGCATAGTTGGCATCTGTTCCCTATCACCTAACTATAGCACAGAGCATGTGTTTATTTAATAATTTGTAACTTTTATTTTAACAAATATCACTATAGTATAATGACTGGATTTCCTATTTTAGCAAGATATCAACTATTATGGCAGTGGATTCAGTTACTTTAAAAATAAATGCTCTTTGCCATATTATAGCTGAAGCAAAATGTCTTTTATCATCTTCCTTATTGGAAAAAGCTTCAATTCATCATCCTGAAATCGGAGTAAGGGTTATGATCCCCTTTGCCCTGTAGATTCAACAATGAATTAAAATGTTAAAACACTGCATGGAACTCTTATTCATCCAAATTTTCTTGAAGGAAACCAAATCTCATTACATAAAATCTTTCCTAACACTAATCATATCAACTACCTTAATTTGAATA